TCGTTCTTAATCTGGGGTTATGTGAAGAAAAAAATATGGCATCCAAAACAAATGAAAGTGTTGATTCTTCAGTTGTTCTTAGTCCATTTTTTTGATGGGACTGATTTTAAATACTGGAAGATAAGAATGAGAACACATTTGAAAGCTGTGGGTTTGTGGACTATTGTTGCAAATGGCTTTGAAGAGCCAGAAAACGATGGTGATCTTACAGCAGCAGAGATGAAAAATCTTGAGGCTAAGTATCGTCAAGATGCAAAAGGCTTGAGCAAAATCCAAATGGGAGTCTCAAGAGCATATTTTGCAAAAATTGCTACTTGTGAGACTGCAAAGGAAACTTGGGATTTTCTGGAAACTGAGGTGTATGGTGACAAAAAGGTACGCACTATAAATCTTCAAACTCTTAGAAGAGAGTTTCAAAATTTAAAGATGATAGAATGTGGAAAAATTGATGAATATTGCACAAGAGTCATGAATATTGTTAATGAAATAAGAAATCATAGTGATACAATTTCTGACCTTTAAGTTATGAAAAAGATTCTAATTAGTGTCACAAAAAAGTATGAGTACATCGTTGCTATCACTGAGGAGACGAAAGATCTTTCTAAGCTTTCCATCAAAGAGTTAGTTGGATCATTTGATGCACACGAGAAGCGAAGATTTTTTCGTGAAGATCAACCCAAAGAGACGGCTTTCCAGTCTTAAAATAAATGAGAATTCTCAAAATTTCTCAAAAAATCATCAGAAGAAAAATCAAAAGCCAAAAAAGAAGCAGGATCATGATGATACTTCCAAGAAGGTTGAAGAAAAATGTGAGAAAAATTCTAGTATTTTTTGTAAAGTTTGCAAAAAGACTAATCACAATGCAGAAAAATGTTGGAACAAAGGCAAGCCCCAATGTAAATTTTGTAAAAAGTTTGGCCATGTTGAAAAGGATTGTTGGCACAAGAAACGGGAGCAAACAAATTTTTGTGAAATACATGAGGAAAAAAGGGAAGAAAATCTTTTCCTTGCTTCTAAATATAATGCTTCAACAAAAAACAATGAATGGTATGTTGATAGTGGTTGTAGTAATCAAATGACTGGAGATGAAAAGACTTTTCTCTCAATTAATAATAACATCACTACTAAAGTGAAGATAAGGAATGGAGTCTTAGTTGATGCGAAAGGTAAAAGTACTATTTCGATCAACATGAAAGGATGCGGTAAGCAAATTCATGATGTTCTTTATGTTCCTGACTTGGAAGAAAATTTACTTAGTGTTGGTCAACTCATGGAAAATGGTTATTCTCTTGTGTTTAGAGATAATTATTGCAAGATTTATTGAGTCAAATCAAGTCATTGTTGAAGTAAAGATGATAAAAAGAAACTTTCCTTAGCAATTTCATTACAATGCATTAAAAAAGAAAATTGTAGATGATTCATGGCTTTCGCACAAAAGGTTTTGTCACTTGAATTTTCATGGTTTAAAGCTTCTCAAGCTAAAGGACATGGTGCAAGGCCTTCCTGAGATACACACTAAGGTGGATACATGTGAAAGTTGTATAATGGGAAAGCAACACGGGAAGTCTTTTCCAAAAGGGGTGTCTTGGAGAGTAAGTGTATTTTTGGAACTTATTCATACCGACATTTGTGGACCAATGAAGACTCCATCTCTTGGAAGTTAAAGGTATTTTCTAATCTTTATTAATGATTTCTCAAGAATTACTTGGGTTTATTTCTTGAAAGAAAAGTCAGAATCATTTACTACATTTAAGAAATTTAAAGCCCTTGTTGAGAAGCAAAAAGGTTGCAGCATCAAAATCATTCGCAGTGATCGAGGAGGTGAGTACACAAGTCGAGAAATTGAAGAATATTGCAAAAATTAAGACATTCAGAAGCAACTTACAGAAGGGTATACTCCTCAACAAAATGGTGTATCTAAAAGAAAAAATAGAACAATTGTTGAAATGGCCAGAACTATGATGAATAAGATAAGGTTGCCAAAATATTTTTGGGCAGAAGCAGTGCATACAGTAGTTCACATCCTTAACAGGTGTCCAACAAAGGCATTAAAGGACATGACACCAGTTGAAGCATGGAGTGAAATTAAACCTTCTGTAAGTCATTTTAAAACTTTTGGGTGTATTTGTTATGCTCATATACCTGCTGAGAAAAGAAAAAAATTGGATGAAAAAAGTCAAAAATGTGTCGTTCTTGGTTATAGTGATGTGACAAAAGGATATAGGTTTCTCGATGTCAAAATTAACAAACTTGTTAGTAGAGATGTCATTTTTGATGAAAAAACAACATGGAATTGGGAGGATAAAAAGATAGAGAATACTGCTATTATATCTTCAAATCAAGAAGAGGATGAGAAAGATGAAGATGTCTCTCAATGGGAGAAATCCCAGATTCAAATAATGAAGAACCGCCTCCAAGAGGAACAAAAATGTTGAGTGACATTTATCAAAGATGTAATTTTGCTGGTGTTGAGCCATAAAATTATGAAGAAGCAATAAAACATGATGTTTGGAAGAAAGCCATGGAAGAAGAAATTCGAATGATCGAAAAAAAATAATACTTGGGAGCTTGTGTCTATTCCTAGAGAAAGAGAAGTTGTAAGTCTAAAATGGATTTACAAAATCAAACTCAATCAGGAAGGAGATATTCAAAAGCACAAAGCAAGGTTGGTTGCTAGAGGCTTCACGCAAAAACCAGGTATTGATTTTTATGAAACTTTTTCTCTAGTTGCTAGTCTTGAGACAATTAGAATTATAATTACTGTTGCTGCACAAAAGAAATGGAAGATATTTCAACTTGATGTTAAATTAGCATTTCTGAATGAAAAACTTGATGAAGAGATTTATGTTGAGCAACCTCAAGGATTTTTTGTTCAAGGGAGAGAAGAAAAGGTGTATAGACTAAAAAAACTCTTTACGCGCTGAAGCAAGCTCCAAAAGCCCGGTACAATGAAACTGATACATACTTTCTAAAAATTAATTTTCAGAGAATTAAAAGTGAAGTCACTCTGTATGTGAAGAAAGAACATGACATCATTATCATTGTTTATCTCTATGTGGATGATTTGCTCTTTACAGGAAATGATGTAAAGATGATGCAAACTTTTAAACAAGATATGATGCAAGCTTATGAAATGAGTGATCTTGGATTGCTAAATTATTTCTTCGGCATCGAAGTTTCTCAAGTGAAAGAAGGAATTTTCATTTCTCAAAAGAAGTATACTAAAAGTATTCTTCAAAAATTCAAAATGATGGATTGCAGCTTTGTGGTCATACCATTAGCAGCAAATGAGAAGTTTAGAAAAGATGATGGAGAAAAGAAAGTTAATAGTTCACTTTTTAGGAGTTTGATTGGAAGTTTGTTATATCTTACTTCAACAAGGCAAGATATTATGTTTGCTGCTAGTTTATTATCCAGATTCATGCAAGAACCAAGCCAAGTGCATTTTGGAGCTGCAAAGCGTGTTCTACGCTACTTGCAAGGAATAATGGATTATGGGATAAGAAATTTGAACTTAATTGGTTATTCTGATAGTGATTGGACTGGAAGTATAGATGACATGAAGAGTACTTCTGGTTATGCTTTCTTATTTGGATCAAGCATTTGTTCTTGATTATCAAAAAAGCAAAGTGTTGTTGCTCAATCCACTGCCGAAGCAGAATATGTTTCAGCATCCAAGGCTATTTCTCAAGCTATTTGGCTTAGGAGAATATTTGAAGACATTGGTGAAAAACAAAAAAAAAGGAATGTTCTGTATTGTGATAATAAATCAGCAATTGCAATTGCCAAGAATCCAGTCAGTCATGAAAGATCAAAACATATTTTCATCAAGTATCATTTTATCTGAGAAGCACAAGAGAAAGGCGAAATTCAGTTGCATTTTGTCAGACAGGAGAACAACTTGCTAACATCTTCACCAAATCACTTCCTAGAGAAAATTTTTGCTATCTTCGAGAACGCATTGGAGTTATCAAGCAAATGCATTATGGGGGAGTGTTGGAATTAATGCATCAATGTTTAGTCTTCCGAAATTGTCTCTTAGTTTTTCAAGAAGTCTTTTTAGAATTTCGTAGTACATGTATTTAGTAAATTGTGATTCATGTATTTTTAGTTATTTGTGCAAGACTTTTTTATACGAATTTTTCTGTTTCGTCACTAAAATTATGTGTCTCATATATTTAAGCACGAAAAGTAAATTTTATCGCTAAAAGCGAATAATTATTGACGAATTTGATGTCGTGGCTAATGATTTTTTAGTTGTATATCATATTTCTTATAGTGTGATGAAGTGTACACATATCTGAATTAAGATTATATAGCCATAAGAAAAAATTTCTGATGCTAAAAAAAATGAGAAGAAATTTATTTTTATTTTTAATTTTTTGAAATTTTTGTGAGAGGAAATTCATGGAAGAATTAGAGAAGAAATTAATTGGAAAATGTGTGATTTCCTCCTTAATTGATGTGTTTATGTTACTTTCCATATTAAGATACATATAATTAGATGTATTCACTTAGCATGTATTCGAAAGATATATTTAATCAGATGTATCTACTTAGCTTGTATCTGAGATAATGTATCTAAAGGTGTTATGTGCATGTATCTAAAAGTGTTAGGTACATGTATCTGAAACCAAAATATGGTAGAAACTGTAATATCAAAAACTCACAGAAAGAGAGGTAATTGATTTCTAAACTAGTGGGATTTAAGTTGCTTGCCTAAATAAAGCATGTAACCAATATATTTAGTTTTAAATTAATTAATTTTAATTTTTATTAGAAATTGTTTCGAAAATGCTCCCGAAAGAAAATTCAAACTTTTGGAAAATAGTTTATATTACTCTTTGGAAATACTGATTTTTTTTTTTAAAAAAAAACAACTAAAAATCTCACATTCTTAAAAATAAGCATTTTTAACATTCAAAAAAACTTGACTGGAGGTTTTTAAAGCTTTCTAAAAACTTACATCTGGCTGTATGTAAGTTCAATTAATTAAAGTAAAAGAGTGTTTTTAAATTTATTAATAGTTAAAGAATGAAACTAATATTTCATTCAATATTTTAAGAGTGTTTTTGATAATTTTTTTCAAATAATTCACAAAATTCTGCTTGTTCTGTGCAGTTGTCCAAAACGTATCTAGATACCATTGTTATATTTTGTCAGCTTACCAACTTTTTTTCACTTATAGACAATTACTCACTATTTTTTATGAAGGAAACAAAATCTGAACACCATAAATTATTTAGTCACAATTTTAATGCTTTCATGTATATATAAAGGGGAGCTTCACCGAATTATACATTTTTCTCCTTGAATCGTCTCTACTTGTATTCAGGTTCTTTCTTAAACCCATTTTAAGTTTAATTTTGATTTGTTTGTGAATTTTTATTAATTATGGTAGAGAATTCGATGATTTTTTTTAGTAAATGTTGTGTGAATTCTGGAATTTACACTAGTTCATGTTTGCCTTTTTTCTTTTTGTGGTACAGAAAAGAAGTGTTTATTTAGTGATTTCATTTTTTGTGTTAATGGTAATTATCGATTTGATCGGAGAAGCTGTTGTTATATCTATTTTTAGATTGAAAAAAAAACCCTTTTCTAGTAATGAAAGGGGCTAAATCGATTTGATGATGGAATGGTGGTCCAGAATCTAATTTTAGTTATTTAAATGGAAGTAACATTGATCTGTTTAACCTGCATTGGTGATATATATATACCTTTTCTGACCATTTCCAAATGAACAATTTCAACAAAATCTTTTCATTTCCTCTTTTACTATTACTTGTTATTTGGGAATCATTTTCTTGTTTGCCTCCCAAGGTCCGTGTACACTCTGCCCTCCCTAGGCTTGTGGTGATATATATCTCTCTAGTTTTGCTTTTGCGTTTAAGTTGATAAATAGTAAGCTGTAGTTTTGAGTCTCTCTTTTCTTATCTTGTGATTTTCAGAGCTATGTGACATGAAAGATGGGGTGAAACAACAGCTCTTGGCTCTAAAAAGCCTCTAAGTTCTCGTGCCAGATGCACAATGAAATAACAGTTATTAAGAATGTTGCTCTACTGAAGCACGCCCTTGTTGCAGATGGTTGAACGCTGAAACAAGGTTTCGTGTGCCTGTAAATAGAGAATTATCGTATCAGCAGGAGTGTTATCTATAGTATAAATTAGTAGGATTGTTTGTTGAAAATGGTGAAAAATGGAAATGTAGTGATGCAAAAATATGAATTGGGGAGATTATTAGGTCAAGGCAACTTTGGTAAGGTTTATTATGGAAGAGATCTTGAAAGCGGACACAATGTAGCCATTAAAGTAATTGATAAAGAGAAGGTTCAGAAAGCTGAATTGACTGAACAGACGAAACGAGAGATATCAGTTATGGCAATGGTCAAACATCCACATGTTGTGCAGCTATACGAGGTCATGGCAACTAAGAGTAAGATTTACTTTGTGATCGAACAGGCCAAAGGTGGCGAGCTTTTCAACAAACTGACAAAGGGCAGACTCAAGGAAGACGCTGCTAGAAAGTTGTTTCAGCAACTGATCAATGCAGTTGAATTTTGCCACAGCCGAGGTGTTTATCACCGTGATCTCAAACCAGAAAATCTCCTACTGGATGAGAATGGAAACCTAAAGGTCTCAGACTTTGGTTTGAGTGCATTAGCTGAGTCTAAGCGACAAGACGGGTTACTTTACACAACCTGTGGTACACCAGCATATGTTGCTCCTGAGGTGATCGGTAGAAAAGGATATGAGGGTGCCAAAGCTGACATCTGGTCTTGTGGAGTGATTTTATTTGTCTTGTTGGCTGGTTATCTTCCATTCTATGACTCAAATCTTATTTATCTGTATAGGAAGATATGCAAGGCGGAGTACAAATGTCCTAATTGGTTCCCTCTAGAAGTGCGTAAACTTCTCTCTAGGATCTTCGACCCAAACCCTCATAAAAGGATTTCAATAGCCGAAATAAAGGCAAGCTCCTGGTTTAAGAAAGGACTGGGATCTAAACAAGTAGTGAACCAAAATGTTATTGCAGATGGTGATGCTGTTTCCAGTTTGGATAATACCAAGTTAGAGTTGATAAAACCTGCAAGCGTTAGTGCATTTGATATCATCTGCTGGTTTAATTTGTCTGGTTTATTCATAGACGATGATCAAAAGGAGGAGCTGCGATTCACATCAGTGAAACCTGTCCCAGTCATCATATCTAAGCTTGTGGAAGTTGGCAAGAGTCTGAACCTTGAAGTAAAGAAGAAAGAAGTTGGATTTCTTATGTTGGAGGGATTAAATGAGAGCAGATATGAAACCGTGTGCATTGGCGTGCAAATCTTTGAAATTTCTGTATCCCGTTACTTCATTGAGCTGAGTAGGTCAAGTGGTGATGCGATTGATTACCAAAACATGTTGACGCAAACTATCAGACCAGCTCTTGATGAAATTGTTCAGGCTTGGCAAGGTGTGCAATCTCATCAACAATCACTAAAATGAAGCTTCTGATTTCTAGATGCTGATCATACTTTGTATTATTAGTATTTAAACAAATGCTGTTTGTTTGGTGGGCTAGCTACTTCTATTTACTGCACCTGTTTGTGAAAGCATGTTATTACAAACTTAATTGGATTATTTTCCCTGAGTTGTCTTATTTTATTGGTTCAATAGTACCAGCTAGTTTTTATGCTTGCACGGCTTGAAGTTGTCTTGTATTTCTATGATTTAGTGGTGGTTCTCATATGATAGAATTGACCTCGACTTGTTGTTTGAGGAAAAGAGAGAAAACCTAAATAATTTGCTTATCTCTCTTGAAGTTGTCACTATTTCTTCAATCAAATAAAGAAAGAATTCAAATGGCCGCTCTCTTCAAGTGTATGTTAGATATTACATGTTAAAATATAGCTATTTTGAAATATGGCAAAGTTACGTCGAACAGGTCGTATCAACACGTTCCAGCAGAATCCAAAAATGAGTGGGATAAGCTTTCAGAATTGTTTATTCAAAGCCAAGACAAAGAAGGAAAACTGTTTACTTGTTTAAGGAAATAGTTTGAGGCGGAGCCAAGACAAAGAAGGAAAGTTATTTCCTTTCTTAAGGGATTAGTTTGAGACGGAAAATCCAAGTTGATTTCTACAAGGCTTTGAGGTGGTAGAAAATTCCCACAAATTGCTGGAAGTTTCTGGGAATGAAATAGGAAGACATACGGTAACGCAAGTTGCTGGGATTTCAAGTTCGAGTCGAGTTTGGTTTACAAAAGTTTTAAGGCAATCTGTTGTGTTATTTAATTAAGGACAAACCTTGGAAAACGTTGTTTATCAAGTTCAAGTAAGAGGAGTTCTACAAAGACGAGGATTTCTTTGCAGCGGCAAAAGGAAAATAGAAGTCCAAGTTGAGTTCAACAAGGATTGTGTAGCGGCAAAGACAAGTTGAATCAAACTAGAGCTTGCTGAAGTTCCAAATCTATAAATAGGGCTATAGTTTTGCTGGAGAAAATTATGCACTTACATATAGAGAAGATCAAAACACGATTAATAAGTTTGAGAGAGTTTTGAGATTTATTGAGTGTTGCAAATTTGCGAGAAAATGTTGTAAGATTGTAATAAAGAGTTTTGATTACAATCGAGTGTGTGTAAGATTCATCTAACAAGTTTGAGAAACTTGACGGACAGTAGAAGACTTAAACCTGGGGTTTTTGTCTTAGGTAGCAAGAAATTAGTGTTTATAATTTCTTAACTAGAAATTAGAGTTTATAATTCCTTATGTTACATAGATTTGTAATCTTTGTGTTGAGACTTGGAGTTAAATAAAGTGGAGTCAAATCCGAGGTGTAGGTCGTGGTTTTTACTCTTATTAGTTGGGGTTTTCCGCGATAAAATTGTTGTAACCTGCAAAGGAACATATAAAATATACTTGTTTCTTAGGTGAATTTGGGGTCAGAATTCCAACATTACACTTATTTATTTATTTTTGGGGGTAGCCATAAATATATAAATTGAGAAAATTTCAAAAAGAGCGATATTCTAGGTATAATTATTTGATGTTTCTAGTTTCCAATAATTTGAAGCTTAATTATGATAGGCTTTAATGTCCGTTTCTGCTATATAGAGCGAGATTTTATTATTTTATTTTTTTCTCAAAACATGACTACATTTCCCTTTTTAAGACATAGGAAAATATAATATATCTGCATGCATGAAATAACTAATAGCGTGAAGACAATATCTGAATTTTTAATTGTATGCATATGTATGATGTTTGTGCATATATGTGAAGACGTCAATTGTATGTGTTGCCAACTACATGTGTTCTCAAATTGATTATAGGACATTAATGCATGAGAAAAACATGCAAAGTGTAAGTTTTAAGGCCTAAGTCATCCAGCCACTCAAAGTTGTCCACATAATTTATTTAGACACCTCAACTAATCCTTGTGCCAATTGAACACTTTATTTGTTCAAAAGTTATCTCTATTAGACACAAAATGCTGACATGGCAAAAAACGTGTAATTCACTTTCCTTGAGCGCGTTAATTTATTAAAAATAATATTTTTCTTTTTTTTTCTTAATTTATACCCCTAAATTAATTTTTTTTTAAAAAATTAACAAAAAAGAAGAAGAACGGTTGTCTTCTTCTTCTTCCCTATTTCTATCAATCCCACCCCACCCCAACCCCCATATCCATACACCAGTGGTTATCTTCTTCCCCCATCATTCTAATGATTTCAAAATTCTTAATATCAGTAGTTATCTTCTTCCCCCCACCATTCTAATGGTTTTCAAAATTCTTAGCATTTTGTTTCATTTATAAATTTTTCGAAGAGATTCTTTTCCCATCTTTCTCTACCTAAAAAACGAAATGAAGTAAAAAGTTATAATTAATAAAAAAGCTGATAAAAAAAATTGTCGGATTAAAGATGAAACTGTACAGGAAGGGGAGGGTAGCCATTAATGGAGTCAGAGGAAATGTATGTTTTGTTCCAGTTGAAGGCAGGGAAGTTTAGGTTTTACTTTTTTTTTCTTTTTTTTCAACTTTAAAATAATTTTTATTTTTTTACTTTATAATATAATGTTTAAATAATTTTTTGGATTAAAAAATAACACATGTCATTATTTGATTGGTCAAATTGACATGTCAGCGCGAGTGTATTTCACACATCCTCTATTTTTTGTTTATTCTCGAAAAAATGTTCAAATGGTTCAAATTCAGAATGGTTAAAGTGTTCAATAGGTAGTACGTCTAGTTGAGGTGTCTAAATAAATAATCGGGACAAGTTTGAGTGGCCGCATATGACTTTGGCCATGTTTTAAATATGTCATACCTCAGGATCTCTATTAAAAAAAAATAGCTAATTGCTAGGATTTATAGATATAAAACTACGTATATTTTGTATATATTTTTCTATATTATAATATAATGTCACAATGCTTTACTTTTTTGTTAAAAGCACCACTATGGAGAATAATAAGGATTGGATTGGAGCTGAAACCTCTATACATCGAATCATGTAATTAATACAATCCTATATATAACAGATGATATATTTAACTAGTTTAGGCAGCATATTAAAAATACATGATTCTTGCTAGTAAATAAAGAGAATTAAATATGACATAAGATGAAATGAGAATGTAAGTTTTTTATTTCGTGGCAAGTTATGTTTGTTTAAAATGAGGAATGTGTTGATAATTTTAGAGGTGTACGCACCTTTTATCAGTGGGGGTGCATCATGAAGAACATATGCTCCAGTATTGTTGGTACTATCAGAAATTGAATTTAGCTGGATTATTTTATTATTTTTATTATAAATTTAGCTTAGAGATCACATTTAATTCATTTAAAATCTTTAAATTTTTTTACCTTAAAAATCATATTTTATATATTCGGAATTTTTAAATTCTGAGTTTATACGTAGTTGATATATATATATCTCCCCTTATTTAGAAGGGAGAGTCTAGAAAGGACGAACATGGCTATAAAAGTTGTACCGTGCAATTCCATGAAGCACACAAATAAGGACATCTTTGTAATTTCAAGGTATAAATTGTTTTTTCTTTCATGAAGACACGTGTTGTTATTTGGTGCAGCTTTTTTCCTAATATTTAACTCATTCCCACCTTCTCCAATTATTCCAACCTATTCTTTATGAAGTTGTCTAATGAAGTTCTTGAAATGGTAAAGAAACTACTATTAAATGTTCTTAATTTGTTGGGTGTTTTCTTTATTTACAGGGAATCAATAAATCTGCTCTTTGACATTGTTGAAATTACCTAATGTAGGAAAGATCAAATATAGTTCAGGTAACAATCTTTTTGAACTTAAATTTAAACACCTTATTGCTTTGTTTGTGTGATTAATTCAACAAGGTATGTGTGTCTTTTGCTTTGTTTCAACTTATCCTTGGGTGCATGTTTGATTGTGTGTTATTTTCTCTTCTTCCTTTGTTTTACTCATTTCATTATGATGGGATTGCATTAGCAGATTTTGAATTTCTTCTTATTTTGAATATTTTGGTCCATAAAGATTTATAATTTGCTAAATCAAACGAATTTTATTAGAAACTCACTGATTTGACGATTACTATATTTTGGTCCAAATATTTGGATACTTGAAGTTCATGAAATTAATTGTCTCGATTATATACTTATGTGAATGTGATAGACATGAATAACAAAATTGGTTATCTCGATTCTCTGCTCCAATGAAATGTGATATACATTAATAACAAAATTGGTTATCTCATTCTACTATGTCCAATTCTCCGCTCCAATTTTCCCTCATTCATCAGTGTTAAACAGTTCTCAGATTTATTTTGGGGTAAATTTTACTATAATTCAGTACTTCTATTTCTTTTCCAATTCTCCGCTCCAATTTACTATACTAAATTCCACCCTTGTTTTTGCTTTACTTTGTCTCTAGAGTATGTACACAAAGCTAAAATCCTTTCACTTTTTGCTCGCTATCATGTTTGCTCTGATTTGTTCTTCTGAGTTCCTTCTTGCTGGTCACTTCAATTCTTTGTGAGTGAACATTAAAAGTAAACACAATTTCGTATGTGTACCATAGTTTCCTTCTCTATTGATATAGTTTCTAGCTAAGATTTCTACATGTTCCTTACTAACTGCTTAATTTGCACATGCATTATTTTTCTTTGATAAATTCAATATTTACGGTCATTAATAAGTGAAAAAGTTAGATTGTCTAACAAAAATCTTTATATCAAGTGGATTATGCATCTAAGTTGTTTGATAATATGTCTCAGTTAACTTATTTAAAGTTTCCTGTTATTGTTTTTCTTTTTGGATTGCATCATGATTTTTGTATCAGGACTAAAGGCATATATGGGAGCATGTCAATTTATCTTATCTTGGTGGTTTTGGTTCTACTGCTCAAGATGTGGGCCACTTTGTAGTCAATTATCGTCTTGCACAAAACACGCAATGTATTAGTATTAATTATTTTCTTATGGATATTCTTTTTGATTTACTTTTGATCAACTATGTAGTTTTGAGTATTACATATATATTCATTGATATTTACTTTTCATGTTTTGGCATTTGTTTTTTTGTTCAACTATTTCTTTGAATAAACAAGTAGCAAGATTATCATATGTTTAATTGTATATTTAATAGCTGAACACAATGTTATAACTAACATAAAAAGAACCTTTGATAAAGTAGACAAGATATGTTTTTTTAAATTTTGTGACAAGTAGAGTTTAATAGTACTTTAGAAAAGGAAAAATACTTAATGTGTTATTCTATGACAAATATGGATTTAGTCTTCAAATATTTTGAAGTAGTCCAAATATGTTTTCACCCCTAAGTTAGTATCAACACTTTCTATGTTCAAGTATACATCCCCTTATCTAATTAAGAGAAGGAAAGATGATTTGTTTCTCCAACAAATTCTTTGGATATCAATCTCTGCTTTGGATAAGCACATGATTATTAGGATTAGTTTAACACCATTTTTTCATTTGAAAGAAAAAACATCTTACGGAACGTTAATGTGTCAGGATGTTGTTCGTCGGGCACTATTTAAGTTAAGGATAGGCGCTTAGAAGTTTTCTTGGTAGATAATGGCTCAAAAATGAAAGATGAGTTCTTCATAAGAAATTACACTAATTATTATAGAACTAAGTCGGAGTCAAAGTATGTAAAACAAATGATGATTGGCTTTACCCACAATTATCTAACAAGTTATTGTGGCCGTTGATATTAGTAAGGTATTTTGTCTCATTACACAAAAAGAAACAAGTATTCAATATTTTTTTGCTTTCATTCCATACTATTCACAATTTTTTTAGAAAAGTAACTATTGTATAATTGCCACTACTTTAGTGTGGTCCCCAAAAAGTATTCATGATGTTCTATTTTGTTGTCAATTTCATAGCTTAGTCGCCTCCAATTTTGTTGTGAATTTCATAGCTTAGTTATAATTGTCAAAAAAATGATACTTCTGTGATAGAATTTTTCCATAATAAGAGAGAATGTGGAGTCGTGATCTGTTATTATTTAATCAATTGTTCTATAGACAACAATCATTGATACAATTGGGAGTTGTCAATGTCAAATTGGTCATTATTCTCTATACTATAACATATGTTTGAAAAAAATGTCATGGTTAGAAAGTCGGACTTTCTTTGCACAATTAAGTAATAAAAATATTAGTTTTACATACTTTTAACTTCTTTTAATCTACACTTGTGTTAAAGGAACACATAGTATATTCTTTGCGGGGAGGACAACTTCAAATAGTTTTTTCAATGCAAAAGAAATAAATTGTGGTGACTGATTGCTCTTGAGCTTTTCATTTTATTTTACTAAGTATCAACATAGAGCTAAAAGTTAATATTTGCATAATTAGTTAGCTTTTACGTCATGCCTGATGTTCACAAGTTTGTGAAATTCATGTTAAATAGTAGGAGTTTATATCTATATATAGAAGTGGCCAAGGAAGCAGCTGGATGTTGTCCTGCCAACTTTATATTTCTAGCTTTTATGTCATGCCTGATGTTCACAAGTTTGTGAAATTCATGTAATATAGTAGGAGTTTATATTTATATATAGAAGTGGCCAAGGAAGCAGTTGGCCGTTGTCCTGCCAACTTTCTTTTTTCAGGGTAGTTTTGTCATTAACCATGTTTGACATGTGTTGAATTCTTAAGCCAGCTGCCTCCATCTATCTCTGAACCTGGTTGTCGCTTTATTAATATGTAACTGTGTGTTGGTTTTGGTTTTACCTTCGTTTCTCTCCAGATGGATCGACTTCTCTTTGTCTCTGGTGACCCTTCAATCTCTTGCCACTGTTTCCTTGAATCTCTTGCCATTTTTTTGTGCTAATTTATCGATGTTATTGTCATGAATTTACAAAATTAAGAAAATTAATTTTTATGACAAAGCTTACAGTTATTAGGTCTTAGAAGCTAATTTTTGTTGCTACTATTAGAGCTGTTAGGTCTTAGGAGCTAATTGTCCTGCCAACTTTCTTTTTTCAGGTATAGTCAGGTTATCTTTTTCACCTGAATTTTCTTAGTGGTTGGGACTTCTTTTATCTAACAAGTAAATGTATAATCTGTAGCAGTAGATTACAGCCTCTTGCTTTCAATTATCAAAATTTTCAAGTCAGAGATACTTTAAATGTGGTAGTCTCAAATTGAATAATTAACAACAAACAAATGAGTATATTTAAGTGTGAGAACTACATGTACTAATGCCAAAGCAACAAAATATAAACATAGACTCATTATTGAGTTGTAAAGGATGAGGAATGAGATAAAATGATTTGCTTGATTGTTCTTTCAATAAATCACTCCTTCAAATCAGTACTTGCCTGTGAAATGTTGAGCGTTAAAGATAGTGTTGAAGTTTTACAACATTTCTATTATAAGAATGTTGTGGAAGAAAATGATATATATTACTGATTTAGAAGCACCTTTTCAACTGTAGTTACAAAGGAATTTAATAACAAATAAGACATGTTGCCATTTATAGTACAAATTCCACATAACATCTTCTACAACTCCCCTTAGCTTTCAGACACTCCTTTCCCATTTAAATTATGGTCATGCTTTATTTTAGTTTCTTGAATTTCTTGTATTTTCTATTTATTAGTTGGTCACCTCTAGCATATCTCACTGTCTCAGCAAAATACCATTTATACAAGGAAAATATAATATGATCACATGTTTTTTGTTATCGATAAAGACGACCACAAGTCTATCACAAAGATAAACTAATTAAATTTGAGACTACATATGGGTGAAGCCGGAAGGGAAATAAGGAAATGAAAAAGAAATCATATAAAAGAGATCACCTTAGTTGCACGTACTCTCCACTTTTGATGCCGCACTCGGAACATAGGACCACAAGTGATCCCAAGCTAACCCTGCGGGCATAATCATGAGCATACTAAAGATAATAAACTGAATGCGAAAACTAAGTCATAATTTAAACTGAAAAGATGGAGAGTGCCATATTTTGTAACTGAGATATTTGAAAACAATGAGTTTAATAAAAAGAACTTATTAACTCAATACTAAACTGAAAATAACTATGTGTCAAATAAGCCTCGAACTGACTAGAAATGCTGGGACAAACCCCAGCTAAGTTTAACAAAAACTGAAACTAAATGACTAAAATACTAAAATGAACTCGTGACTATTGTCCTCGGAGAATGAGGGCTCACTACTGATTCTGATGAACTGGAGATCGAAAATCAATCTAAGCGTGATCTGGATGCTATGTAGCGCACGTATGCATTAGTACTTGAAGGTAATGAGCATGTACGATAGAATAAATTTGAAATAAAACATAACTGAACAAGCACAAGAGCAAGTATAATAATCTGAACATGATATACTGAATTCTGAGCTAACTGGATGAAATGACCAAATTTATAACATACTGAGACTGAATAATAACTAAACTGTAAATATGGTCAATGCATTAGAGTCTGACTGAACTGTGGGAGATACTAATAACCAATAATAAAACCACATGAGCTAAATGTGGAGTTCGATGTATACGCCTCATCGAGAGGACCCAATATACCCTGCCAGAGCTATAAAGGCATGATGGCGTGATCACTAAACTGATTGCCCACAGAGGGGATGTTGTGTGTATTCCTTGTGTTGCAAAATCTTTTCTAATTGGTCTTCAACTCAATTGTGTTAGACAACTTCTTCTCCTCCGTGTTTGTTCCTTTCCGCAGGAGCTTTAATTTACTGAGTGACTTACCTATGTTATTTTGCACAATCATTGAAGTAACTGTGAAACCTTGACTGAACTAAGAGCTTTGATATTTGTATATGTTATATAGTGATATATGGTGACTAATGTTTTTCAGTAATAGTTTTCTTGGAGAATTACATTTGTAACAAAATAGTGACAAGTTTGTACCTATTTGACTTTACATTAGTTGTTCAGTAGTTTCTATATAGTTTTACTTTAAGATAGCCCTCATTTTATCTTACGTTTCAGTATGATTTTGGTAGTTGATTTCTTTACATAACGAAGATTTAAAAGTGTGAACTTGAATATTTTTCCAGCCCTTTCATTCCACGTTTTGCATAAGATGATTGATACTTGGATAAGCTTAAGTTTGATTCCCTATTACAATTAATATATACTTTCTGGAGTCTTTATCCAGTTTTGTTACAACCTATTCACCTCAATTCTGTTTTCCTCGATATACTTGCTCATGTTTTCCTTTGTTAAAGTATAATTGGCTTATGTATTGGCAACGATCATTATGAATTCCTTTGGTGGTTAAACATGGCTGACTTTCTCTCCCAACTATCTCATTAACCTTCATCCTTTCTATCTACTTTATCATGTGTTATACCCTATTTACTTGCAGGTTTATGACAACATCCAGTTGAAATGAATTTCAATGAAGTCTCACCTAAACTTCATATGGGACACTGAAGGCTGCTCCATAAAGAGTAATGGAGGCGTGAAAAAGTGTATTCCTCACACTTCCATTGATCTTTGCTGGGATTTATCTTTACTTTCTCTGCTACTTGCCCCTCTTCTTCCACTTCATTCATTGATTTCAGATAATATCTCATTCAGATTTGTCCTTAATCTATAATTTCCTCCAGCTAGCCTTTCTACGTTCCTGCTTGTGTTTAATTTTTGGTCATTAATAACCTTATTCATGCTACTTCGGATATAAATTAATTGGTCTAGCTTTCATAGCTTTCACCAATTTTCCTACCTTCCTGTTGGAACACTATGACAAAACTGTTTTGAATTTTAGAGTTCCAACTTAAATCATTGGAGTTGAATGGCATTTGTTTTCGATAAAAGACAAATGAACTTATTGCAACTATGAACAGTGTTCCTTCATTATCCCCTCGCTTAGAAAAAGGTTGTACTCTCAAAATGTCTCACTTCATAGATCTAATGTAATGTGAACTTGAAAGATTCAATTTCTTTTTTGACAAAAAATCCCTCTACTCATATTACAACTTCTAAATAAAATTGAATTCACTAGTGAGCGGCCTAGAGAGGAAAATAACGTTTCATTGAACCCAAACTCTAGCTCTAAAATGTTGAAGGTATTCCA